ACCAGTATCACTTATTCAGGATGAAGCAGGGGAAATCATGTGGATTGTGAGGGTTTGGATATTGACTCTCAGACTCACAGTTCTTGTTGGCTATTTTGTTGATTATCCTATTTGGAATATTAATGTGACACAAGACAAAAGGACAGGCTCTGGCCTAGCTGAAAACACTTTCTTGTGAGCTGCTGCTGCTGCTTCATGATACTCGAGCAATTTTCTCTTTTGACATGAAAAGAAGCAGGGTAACATTTTCTTATGAACCAAGCCAGGACCTGTGCAATACGTATTTAGGTATTAGTACAGGCTTTTAAGGTCTGCTTGCTGAAAAAGATCTGCTAAAAGTGACAGCAAGCTTGACTTGACGGCTAAGGAGAGTGGGGAAAATGTAAAAAAACACAAATGTAGTGTAGGTGGTATTTATCAGCCAAGATAGTAGCATGAATTAAATAACATAACTGCACAACATAACTGAGACAATAAAACTCCTCCTAGTGGCATGATGTGAGGATTGTAGTCACCAGCTGGCTAAAATCTGTAGGTCCACATTGTCATTGCCATAACAATATCTGCATCTATCAATATCTGCATTAAACAAGAAGCTTCTGGGCTAAACTTTCCTCATGAAATGACCTACAGCCACATGCATAAGGGTAACAGGAAAAGAGAGTGCTTTCCTTTGTTCTCCCTCCTCTTTGTTTCCCTCCTGGAAATACAGGTAAACATTGGTTTAGATCATGCAATAAAGAGGCAGAGCAGAGACTCCCACAACTCTCAATTCCTGCCTACACCACCAAGACAATGTTCCCTGGCTTCTTTTTCTGAGCCTGAGATCCTATCCCTCACCTATGGGTGTTTCTAAACATAGCTGTGGGCTAACAGAGGACATAAAACCACAGAGGTAGATCACCAACTTTATAAACTCTGCCAGCTGAAACATTCCTTTCTTTCTAGCCAGCAGATAGTTCTGCTTTGGCTTAACTCTTCTTGTTAAGAGAAACAAGTATGGTCTTATAAATCTACATCTCAAATGCAGGATGATCTTCTAGGCCATTTTATTCACAAATAGCTGCACAGACTTCTTTATTCAGAGCAAATTTCAGCAATTCGAGGATGGTTTTGAATACCTTTTCATAAATTCCATGTCCCAAAACAGCCCTAAGAAAGACTACTTCAATCATAAAACATAACTTTTCACATATATTTTGCCTTAAGTGAGACTTCACTATCTTGAAATATAAACATGGTTTTTTTCTTCATTCTGTCATTTGTCCCATTTAATCTCAGATTTCAATCACAATGGAGAAGCTGTTGTTCCATGCTTAAAAACAAGGACAAGAATTAAAAGTTTTAGTTATTTCCACTACTCTGACAGTGATTTTTGTGTGCAACTCCAGGAAAATCAGTGTCTGCTCTGCTATTTTCTTATTTTTCAGTAAAGTAGAAGTACTAATACATACTTGTTTTTTTAAAGTTTAGTTGGCAGCTTATGTTATATGAGTGTTAGTAAAATGCTTTGACATTTCTGGGAAAAACATCAAAGTCTATAAATGCCATCTTCATAAATATAGATATTCAAATTAACCATTTCTCCCTTTATTATCTTTTACTGCTAAAAAAAAGTTTTAGTCCTGTCTGGTTAGCAAAGCTTCATTTTTGGACTGGAGTCTTTATTGTTACACATATGAAGCCCCAGAAAAACATTTGAGAGTTTTAAGAACCTTTGAGTCCTTTCCTATATTACATATAAAAGCTTTTTTAGTGTTTCATTTTTGAGATAAAAAGAAAGATTTTCAGTAGGCTTTCAGGACACCCAAAGCTCTTTTCAGTTTTCTGAAGAACAAACATTGCAAGCCTTTCTCTTCATTTAACAGTCTTCAGTATTGCAATATGTTCCATGCAATCATTGGAGAAAACTTTGATACTCTTATTAATGCTGAGTAACACTTAACTAACAGGTTTCTGAAGAAAATATTACTCAACATAAGATTCTGAAAAAGAAAGATTATTAGTGTCAGAACTTTTCGTAAAGCCTTTCCAAGATAATTTATCTGAAAATGTTTTTAAATCTAGACACAAAAAAAAAATCACAGCAAAGCACATTAATTACAGAGAAAAAGTAGCATTAATACTTGGGTTTTACTGTCTAGTGGACCGTATAATAATATCAGTGTATACATAGGTTTTATCTTCGGCATTCCTCCTCATTTTAAAAGCATTATAGTTAATGTATCAATAAATTTAGATCCACTGCATTAGAAAATTTGAGTATGAAATTAAGTTTTTAAAAAAACTTGAATAATTTGATAAGGGAGACCATATTTTTCAGAACATAGCACAAGTCATTAGTTAACAAAAGCACTTAAAAAACAGCTCTGCCAATGTGGATGGAATTTGTTTTAATAGCCTTGAAAAGCCCATGATTTATGATCTCTGTCAAAAGGCATTATGCATTTTAACAGTTCCTATTCAGATCAGCATATTTCTAATTTCATAATGTAGAATGGAAATTAACTGCTTGGATTTCTCCATTTTGCATTTCTATTTACAGACCAACACATTCCTTTAGGAACATCAAGTTCCATATGTGTCTCTTTGTTATGTCAACAGTAAAGCACAGCATGTTTGTATAAAGCCCTTTACAGTTGTCTTCTATTACCAGATGTTACGGTACATTATATAGTACAAAGTTTAGTTGGAAGCTTATGTTATAGTCTCTGAATAATGAGGGCTCCAAATAGTTACTTCAGGTGTGTATACCATTAAAACAACACCTATACTAAATATTCAGAATGGTCAAGGCAAAAGCTAAACAAACTTCTGTAGAGTTTGTGAGATTCAATTATAAACCAAAATCAAATACTCAAAGGTGCCACTTTTTTCTAACTTGTCCTAATAGGTCAATAATACCCTTCTTGTAGCTGAAAGCTAGAGCTGAAGTTCCAATTTTTTTCAGGTTAATATCAAGCCTCCTGAAAACTTTACACAGAACTGTAATCAGCAGAACCCACTAATTCCAGAGAGATCTGATATTGAACTATCTCTAGAGCTAGCTAACCTAGAACAGTCACCCAAATATACTTAGCAAGAAGTTTTACGAAGGTATTTTGTAGCTCCTACAAATATGTCAATTTTAGCAGATATTTGCCTGCACACAAATAGACACACGGTTTCTACAGTATGGAGCTGCTTATGGCATTAACATTGGCCTAAAGCTCATTGCACCCAAGGAAGATCTGGAGAGTGTGTTCTTTGTAAATTCTTTCTGCCCTATCCAGTTGCTCATTACTATTTCAACTGCTCCCATCAGATACAACTCCTGGGTTTTATTGAGGACTCCAATGTCTGTATCACTGCTATTGCAGAGCTCACTGCATCCAAACAAGATATTTGACCAGTGGCTATTCTCATGCTTCCTGAGAATGTTAAATGGAACAAGTCCACCACAAGCAAGGAAATAAAGCAAATATTTTTAAACCATAATTCCTAAAATTTCTTTTAAATTCTGTAAGCTGTACTTTTAATTTCAGACCTCTCCTCAAACAGGAATTCCTTGTCTAAGTAACAAGCTGAAAGAGGGGAAGGAATACAACTGGAATGGAATGGAAGCTGAGATCAGAGTTGGTAGAACTGCCTGCTGTGAAGAATACCATGGATGAAGAAGGTCCAACCTCACAAAATGGTAATCACATCAACATAACCTTAGCTAAACACAAGTTACACAATAGTTACACAAGGTGATAGTGCTGCTGCCATCCTTACAATGGCAAATCCAATTACTTCTATAGAGTTCTTTTTAGAACCTAGGATAATAGAAACAAATGTGTGCTTTCAATACACTTTCACAGAGCAAAGAGTGTAGTTTAAGTCAGTTCATCATCCTAAATAATTTGGATCCTCACTGTAGGAAGCATTGTACTTACCGTTTTTCTACATAATCTTTTTCAATTGATGGCATCCTTGCTTTTTTTATCCTTCTTTTCTAGTAAGGAATTCTGACCTTGTTTTTACACCAATCACTCAATTTACAAAATATCTTTGAAAAATTAAATTCTCCTTCAAACTCAAAAGTCAGTGAAACTTGAGGACATCCACTTAACTAAGGGTGCTGATCTTACCTGTGCCAAAAGTAACAGGAGTACCTAAAACAGCAGATAAGAATCAAACTGAAAACAAGATGAGCTACCTCACAGCACCATTTTTAGCTCAAACTGAGCTGTTATGTGACCCACAGAAGACAACAGCCTTTGTCTACATGTCACTTCCAGCCCTTACCCACCAATGGAAGAGGTGCATTAAACAGCTACCTTGTTTTGCTGCTTTTGGTTTTAAAAGCAAGCTTATAGAAGGGAACTGTGGCAAAATCAGAGAACCTATGCTAACATAACTTTCAAGATATCTTCCTAAGCGATCATAAGTCAGAAAAAGACAACACAAGGCTTTGTGAGAATAGTCAAACAGGCAAACTAAGAGTCTCAAAGGAAACGGTGGAGGAGAGTTGGATTTCTGCATCATTAGAAGTCCCTATCACCTCAGTAAAATAACAAATGCTGTCTCCAAAGAGACCCAGCATTGAAAAAAACACAAGAGACAGAACACTTAACAGAAGGTCAGCTCAATTAGCAGTAAGACTATAAGATAAAAGTCCCCCTGCCCTTCACACCCACAATGGGAGAACCACACTTTTGAAGTGTAAAAGTCCTCTCCCCTCTCTATATTAAGTCATAGGGCCCTTCAGCTTTCTCTGCTTCACTGCAAAGACAGTCTTGTTCTTAAAGATAAGGAAAAATTAAGGTATTTTTCAAGTAATAAAATATATCTTTCATCCATGGCTTGTCACCTAAATACATATGGAAAACTTCTGCTCTTCCAAGGAAACAGAGAAGAGGCAAAAAGGCAGAGGCAGTTCCACCTGGCCAAAGGAGGAGGGACCACAATGTGGCAAATGAACAAGACTTCAAAACAAATGCTGTTAACAAAGGAAAAAAAAAAAAGAGCTTACCATGTAATGTAGCCATTTCTGGAAAGGGAGCCACAGTAACAGATGTTTGGGGTTGGGGTTTTTTTCAGTCTAGGATTGCTAGTTTTCAATTAGTCAGCACACTTGAAACTGCAAAAACTTGAGAATAATACAATCATTATAACAAAATGTTACCAACCCTTCCTCCCCCTGGTTTGAATAGCTTTGGGGAAGTACAGTACACAGACATAAACAGCTCTACCTGCAGGTTTTTATATTTCTTTTGTGTTACCACTATACACTGGGCCCTTGCTTACAGGATAGAGTTGGACAGGCTTATTCTGCTAAGGTTTTATAGGCAACATAAATTTTTAACTCTTGCCTGTACTATAAGCCTTGTCTTGAAAATGCAATCTGCATCAACAGCATTTTAGAGTAAAAAACATCTAAATCAATCAGGTGAACCCAAAACCAGGTTTTGTGTATTCACTTTTGGATAAGTAACTGGAGAGCACGTCAAAGCTTTTTTGCATGCCAACCTCTTTTATCTTCAAACAGATCCACAAATGGATTATTTATAGATGTGACAGCAGCCCTCTGAGTAAAGCATAAAGGGCAGAGATTACAAAAGATTGATTTCCACAGCTCGCTACTGCCATAAACCTATAGCACAAACAGATGCACAGGGGAGAACTCTCTTCCTTAGGTCAGCTGTTTATTTCTGGCATCTGCTTACAAATCCCTGGGGAGGATTAAAAGGACATTCATATAGTAGTTTGAAAAAGCCTTTAAAGAAGTCCCATTTCTCTAGTTTCCCCTAGTGTTTGCCTCCATTTCATGAATCAGGTGGTTAACCCAGAAAAGAGAATCATCTCTACCTGTAGTGTAAGCCATGTGCATTCTTGTCTATGGAAACACCACCACAAGCCTTCTCTACTGAATTCACAAACTTTAGGCAAATCAGCAGAATGAAATTACAAGTGGGTTTCTGTTTACTTTCAATTCAGTTTGGTGTGCAAAATACAGAGTTTTTCTTGTCTCATTTCCACAAGCAAAAATGTACAACATTAAACATCTGTAAATCTAAAATGTAATGGAATGGAACTATATATGTAATGTATAGGGAACATCCTCATTATTATATCTATTCAAGTCCCCATTTTCATTTTGATGAATTTCTCATCTTTCCTACTTGAAACAGACCTATAAATACACTTTTGACAAGGATTCACTCTATCAGTTTTAATTTATTCAGTTTTTTAAACAAGTTCAATTCCTCCCTTTGCCTATTTGTTCTACAGAGGTCAAGAAAGCCAAGAGTAAACAACAGTAAACTGACCTCCCAGCTGTTCATAGGATAATTCTTCTACTGAATCAAAACTCATATCGTTAAGTGTTCAGACACTTCTGTCAGCTGACAAAAGATATTTCCATTCTCTTTTTAAATTGAATCATTAACAGACTGCTTTGTTCTTGTATTTGTTACAGTTCATCTAGTCTGTTCAGTTCAGGCATAGATCCCAGAATGCATAAGGTACAGTTTTCATTCTTTGTATTCTAAACATAGGAATAAATCAATATGTTCAGGTTTCCCCCTCTGAGCAAAACATGCAGTGTCTAAGTGGTATTAGCAGTCTTCTGCTAGCTTCAGAATCATCACTCTGCAATGTAACAAACACCTCAAACACAACCCACTCAGCAACATAAGCAATTAAATTGAAAGTTAGTAGATATTCTTCCATCTCCAATTTGAATACAAATCACAGCTTTTAATTTAGCAGCTAGGCACTTGAGACACACACACAGAGGAATAGGAAATGAAAAAAAAGGCCACAATGGAAGCTGCTTTCATTGCCAAAACTCTGCAGCTCATGTTCCTATGGAGAACATCAATCCAGCATCAGCAGGGTTCTTCTACTTCACACAGAGGCCAGTTCTTAGTCATAAGTGGTTTCAGAGCAAAAACAGACAGAGCACTTTATTGAAAATAATTATTGATGCCCTTTTGCATTTTGACCAATATTTCTTAAGCTAAGACTTTCATTATAATTTCTTGTTTTGTTAATAAAAACCTTTTTGATTCTGAGGTGTAGTAGAGACAGGAAAAAGAGCAAGGGTCTGTGATGGTATTCCAACATGCCCATATGTGACAGCTGTGAATTGAACTCTCTTAAACTATAAGTAGGCATTCAGCAGATATGGAACTTACACTCTCCATAGTCACTTTCTTAGCCCAAGATTTCATTAACAGCTGCTACAATTAGGAAACATAACTTCAATAGATGTACTTAATAGAATGTCAAGATGGCTTTGATCAAAGATTTTTTTTTTTTTTATTTATGTAATGTGAATAAATTTATTTGGTGTGGAGAAACCATTTTGATATCCATGACCATGTGCCTTAATATGTATTAACGAGATGAAGTTAGCTCCTGACTGCCCCTAAAATTTAACAACCAGTTAGCACATAGTAACATACCAAAATGTTATGCTTATAGCCCAGATCTTTACAGACTGGCTGATATTCTTTCCTCCCTGTTTCTCTCTGCTCCTGCTCTGCCTGGAGACATAACTACTAATGCCACCTTGGAAAGATAAAGTGGCTGATCCATCCCTAAGTAATAACTGAGTCTGGAAATTGAAGATATGTACATCAGAAAAGACCCATTATTTTATAAGAAAGTTTGGAGCATCTCACACCAATAAATAGTAAGTCACTGTTCCCAAGTTTTACATCAATATTTTCTTTTCTGAAAATCCTTATAAAGGCAATATTTTAAAAATAGCATTCTTATTGAAAAAATTCATTGGGATGAATTTAATTGAATTAACTGAATTGGATTGGATTGAATTTAATTGAATTGATAAAAAACACCGTGGATTTTCTGCAAAAATGCATTAAATTTCATTTTTGCAGTTACATTGGGAAATTTTTTAAAAAGGCAAAACTACTGTTAATTCTGGACACTCATTTTAACAGGAACTTTTCAAAGATTACTAAATGCATAAGAATATGGTAAGTCAAGTCCCCCAAATAATTTCTTCATGTCAGACTTCCTAAATATGATCTTGTACAAAGATATTTAAATTGCATACAGAAAATGTCTGAAATCTAACCACAGGTATAACATGTTATGCCAGCTTTTAGACTTCCTTTTTTTGTCCCTTGCATAACATTTTGATCACTGTTAAGAATAAGCTGATATGCACAAAGAAAATAATTTTTCTTTTAAATTGTTAATTAAAATATGCATGCACACCTTCAGCTCTCCCCTAAGAGCAATGTTCCATTATCTGTGCTTTTAATGAGGGGAGCAAGAAAGGTCCAAAACATTCTTTTCTGTGGTCATATTTTTAGTGTTCATAATTTAGCATCCAGTGCTTACTCTCAAAACCTGCTGCAAAGTATATGTTGAGATATGGAAATAGCCTGTTCCAGAATTTCAGAGAAATAGCAAGAAATGAGGGACATTTTGTTCTGTGGGACATCTCAAGTCTCTCAGAGTAACTCCTTTGCTGAATACTCAAGTCAGGTATGAGATTGCTACATACTGCTGCCACTCCACACCAATCCCGTATTTTACCATGAGCTTATTGTTTCTAAAGGGAAAATTTATTTAATATGCAAAACATTCCCTTTGTTTCAAGAGGCATTTGGAAAACCTTCTAGACCAAGAATCCCAGCTCACTGCATGTGAAATTTCATATGTCAAAATGCCTAAGCAGCTCAGTGCTTCCAGACAGGGTATGCCAGCTCAAAGAGCAATGCAAAACATGCAGATTTTTTCTTTTTATTTGGGCTTCTCTTTTGAAACATGTACTCATTTTACAACATCCCCAGGGCCATCTGGCTTCAAGTTGCCTTTTTAGGCATATCTGTCCATCCCTAAAGGATTACTTGGCTTGAGCTCAGAGCTTAGGAAAGCTTACCAATTGAAAAAGACAAATCAGATATTAGCCAATAGAGAAAGACAAATAAGTTTTTAGATATATTATATTACAGTTCTTACACTCTGGTCACAACTGGTACCTTTTCTCTTCATTTCTCTAAGCGGATTTTTTTATTATTTTAAAAGACAAATTTTAAACAACAGCAGAGACAAAGAAGTCATTGAACTTTTTTTTTTTTTTATGCATTGCAATTACAGGAAAACTATAATATCACTTTGGGTCAATCTCCTGTGCAAATTCACAGAGTATTAAATAGCCTTATTTCCTGCATACAGAATTTCAAATTGCGTAAGCGGCAGATGGGAACAAAGGGTCATTTTAACCATGCTAGTGTGCGTGGTTTTAAGTGTTTTATTTCTAAAATTGAGGCTTTATATAAGAAATTACATAAAATAGCAGATAGTTAAATTCACCACAGGAATGAAATTTAAGAAATAAATATGATAATAGGATGATTTTAATCAGCATGATTTCTTGATTGCAATCTAAATATTGCTTAGTGCATGGAGAGAAAAGAAGAAGTCAGGATGACAGACTGCAGCAAGCACTCCTGTTGCCCAAGGACTCAGACCACTATTAATGAGCTGTGGACAGGATTTGATTTGCCTATTCCTGCCATACCCAAAGGAACAGGGCATAATTAATGACAAATTATCACTTAGCTGATAATGCATATGGCTTCTTGCCATACTCTGAAAATTACTTCTATAATCTTAAACTGCTGTTACTATTTTGAAAGGTGAGAAGTATATATTGACCAAAAAAACCCACAACAAACCAAACAACAACAATAAATCTTGGTTTGACTCTTATTCTTATTTTCATACTCTACTATGTTTAGTAGATAAAAAACAGCAACAAAAACAAAAAAGTTGGTAAATATTTTTCTGAAATCAGATTTTAGTTTTAGCTATAAAGACTCCCTTCTTTATGTTATGTTGTATGAAATTCTTATTCTGCCACTAAAGCAGTCTGGTGAACTACTAATTAGAGCTATTAGCCTTAAATGTCCTTTGAATTTTGTACATTCAGTCAGTACCTATCCCAAACTGTGCTTTGATCTTTGATGCAAATGTAAGAAGCATCTTCACATTCTCCCTTGAGGAACATAGTGCTGTCACTTTAACTTTATGGCTGATGCTGCCTGGGGTTAATATGGTATTGCTCTCAGATGCAATAAAAGAAGAAACTACATTTTGCTGAGAAAA